TTCCAGGAGAGAACATCTGTGAAAATTCTTGTGGGACAGACATGGGAGTGCTGGAGAAGAGGCCTGGGTGGCAGGAGGACACAGAGCCCTGGGAAATGGGTGGCCGACCATGCAACACACCCATCCTAAATGCAAAAGGAAGGACTGAAACTTCTAAGCAGAGAAGCAACATGACCCTATTTACATTTTTAAAATGATCACTCTGGCTGAAGAGTTGGGAATGGGCTGGAATGCAGTAAGTGAGATGGTTGAGCAGGGGATTTTAGCGGTTTGCAACAAAGGATGGAGGTGACACGGACTGGGATGACAGTGACAGAGAGGGGAGGGCTTGCTGCTGGGCGTTGTACAAAGGAGATGCTCATGTTCCCATTTAATGCTCACAGTCACCCCAAGAGGGCGCTATGGCTACCCCATTTTAAAGCCAAGACTATTGAGACTACCGGCTCCTGTCCTATCCGGGCCAGGGTCAGCTTCCAGTCTCCACTCTCCCAGGAAGCCCTGTCCCACAAGTTCTCAAGTGATCCTCTATCTCTCATTTCTCCCAAAGCTGGGACAGTCTGAACCATCCAGAGAACGGATTCCACTTTGTCTTCCAACCTATCTCCCACCTTCCCCGGCACCACTCGTGGCCCTCAGGAAGTCCTTCACCAATGTTCTCTGACTTGCTTTTGAGCACGCCTTTCAACCTTGACTTGTCGACTGGGGAGGTGAGACTCACACACAGGCAGAGACTTGGCTAAGGTGGTGGCCAAGGTCACACTGAAAACTGGTGGCAAACCCACCAGGGACTGGAAACCGTGGCTCCTGTCGCTATCAGATGACCCCATAGTACTGACTCCCTTCTGAACCCTTCAAAGGGGCAATGGTTGAATGGCCTGATGGCAGTCAGCATGCCCCTAGATTGGGACACACAACCCAGGTATTGCTTGCAGCTGGAACTGGAGGGGTAGGGCGAATGAACATGGATTCCCAATGCTACGAGGTCACGGTTTCCAACCAGCATAGACATGTGCCTTCCTGGTACGTCTAGCTCTTTCTTCCCCTGCCTCATTGCACTTTATCACCTCCTCCCTGTGGCGATCAGGATGGCCTGCATGGTCCCGGCGAGACCGCAGGGAGTTCCTGGCTCACTGCATTTGGAGAGAAGAGCTGCTGGGATGGTCATGGCAGAGGCCGGGGAGAGGGCTGGCACGATGGGAGCTCGGGCAGGCCTGGGGGTGAAGGCGTAGTCCAACAGGATGACAGAAGTCAATCCCAGGTGAGGGACAGACACCCTCTCCAAAAAGAAAACCAGGCAAGGGGAGAGGCACTCGGGATGGGGGCAGGCATGATGCAAAGGAGGCCAGGTGCACCTCATGGACAGGGGATTCTCTCAGATACACAGCCAGTCCTGCTGGCATGATGGAGAAGGGACCTTAGAGACCTGGGCTCCCCACCCCCCCGCCAGGTTTCAGAGAAAAGACCAGAGGCCTGGACAGGTGACGTGACTTGCATGGGGTCCCACGGCACTGGCCCCAGATCGGAGATCCACCCACACACCCGGCCCGGTCCTCCTTCCCAGGCAGCTTAGCTCCCTCCACCACCTACGCATCTTCTCTCCCTCCTTCACCCCTGCCTGTGCGCTTGACTGACATGAACTGATTTTAATCCTCAACTTTAATTTTACTAGCCTCTCTTGTCAGAAGAGGATGCTGATGTGCAGAAAGGTTAAGGTTCAAGTTCAAGAAGGTGCCGCTAGTCGGTAGTGTGGCTGGGACGAACCCAGGTGGCTCCCTGCAAGCATCCATGCTCTCACTATTCTGCTCCATGGCTCTCTCAACCCCATGGGCTCCCAGACTTCCCCCAGCTAACCTTTGCATTTTCCCCATGAGGGCAGTGAGAGCTGAAGATGCTTCAACTCTCGTACACATACAAGAAACAGCCAAGAAGGGTGCAGACACCACGGTGTCTGCAGAAATAGGCACGGGGCTCTAAGTGCATCTGTCTGGAGCAGAGGCTTGGCTGGCCCCGAATTCACCATCTGTGCTCACAAAGAACCAGAAACCACACCCATAACCATGATGCTACCCCGCACAGTGTCAGGAAGTCTTTCCCTCGACCCTGAAAACGGTGCAGAGGAACTTACGCGAAGGGCATCGCAACCCGCAGATCGACTCTCTCAACCCCCCTCCTTGCTGCAGTCTTTTTCCTGAGCATCTGTCCCCATCTAACATACTTATATTTTGATACAATACAAGCTCCACGAGGATAGGTCTTTTAAAAATTGTTGCTTGATTTGTGTCCCCAATGACTAGAAGAGTGTCACACACACAGTTGGTGCTTGATAAATACTTGAAGTTCATGAGGGAGGGAGGGAGGATGGGAGGGAGGGAGGGAGGAGTGGAAGAAGGAAGGATCCACCAGGGAATAGCTGGAGAAAAGAGGAAAGAGTGGTCGGAAAAGGGGAAGAGAGAGAAAGGTAATAAGGAGAGAAGGAGAAGAAACAGAGAACACAGAAGAGAACAAAGGAAAGAGGAATGAAGAGAAGGAAGCCGTGATGCAGGAAGGAGGGAAGGGGAAAGGAAAAGGAGAGGAACAGAAGAACAAGAAAAAGAAATAGAAATGAAACAAGCAGGCAGGCAAGCAACCCAGGGGCCTGAGAAGGAAGAGGAAGACATGGTTGGAACCAGAGGTGGAGGAAGAAGGACCCAGCATTAGTGGACAGAGGGAAAAAGCAGCAGCTCTCAGTTGGCAGGAGGGCCAGGGGGAGGAAGGTGCAAGGGCGAGGGGATGCATCACAGCCCTGTCCTCCCCACCTTCCCCCACTGGAAGCACAGCCTGGCCTTCTGCAGCATATGGAGGCACTGGGCCAAACCGTTTATCTCGAGTCCTGTGGCTCGCTTTTGCTTTTCTTTTCAAAGTTTAACTCCGAGTTTACGAGGGGCATACTCCATGATGGGTGTTTTTCCAATTAGCTGTAAATAGCCCAGTCCTGCAGAGGAGACCCGCCGACTTCCCCAGCTCTAATTCTGGCTGCTGGATTGGGGGAGGGAGAAGACAGGTGAAGAATCATCCATCACCAACTTGGAAATCTCCAACGCAGCAGATACCAGAGAGCCAAGGCTGGGGAAGAAGTGAGAGGCAAGCCCGATTATTCCAGTCGCTGCAGAGGCTGCAGAACCTTCCCAGGTGATGTGTCAAAAGAGCTACTCCCCACACAGGGCCTGTTCCGTGAAAGGTGCCAGGGGTAGGGACATAGGGAAACCCACAATGAGAACTGAATTGACATTACTAATGTCTACTTTATTTGCCCTTAGTATGTACCAGGTGCCATAACAAATTTTTTTTAAGATTTATTTATTTATTTATTTGAGAGAGAGAGAGAGAGAGCACGAACACACATGAGAGAGTGGGGGGAGGGGCAGAGGGAGAGAATCCCCAAGCCAACTCCCTGCTGAGCGCACAGCCCCACACAGGGCTCAATCCCAGGACCCTGAGATCAGGACCTGAGCTGAAACCAAGAGCTGGAAACTCAACTGACTGAGCCACCCAGGTGCCCCCATCACAAACTTTTTATATAACTTAGCCAAAATTCATCCCCGAGTCTATGAGGCAATTATGAGGCCCATTTCACAGGTGATAAAACTGAGGTATAGGGGAGGTAGATAACTTGCCTAAGAGCAAAAGTTGCCCAGAGCAGCTATGTGACCCATGCTCTTTCAATGTCCACCACGCATGAACAGTTCTACAAGGGTGATTCTTTCCCTCTTCCCTACCCCAGCTACTTCTTCAGCCCAATCTGTTCAGAGGTGAGAGGGCCACATGTCTTAGTTGCCTTCATGTTTGCCAGAGGACCCTTACTTCCTTCTGGGCCCTGGTCTAAGCCCTTGGAGCTCTCCTTAATCACTGGCATGGAATACATGTTCATACCCCTCCCACCCCCCACTCCCTGTTCTCTTCCAAGATTGCAACCTTGAACTTGCCCTTTCCCCATCCATATAAAACGCTGAGGGATGAGCAATTACATTCACAGCTGATTGCCTGAAATATGCTCTATTCTCCCTTCAGAGTATGTGTGATCATCAGAGAGCTGTGGACCTCAGCCCCAAGGTGTAGCCCTTTATGGAGTCCTGCATCCGCTTCTGACGCCTCCTTACCTTGAGGGTCTTTGTGAGAAATAATGAGGCATCAGTACAGATTTCATCTGGTGAAGACAGTGTCTTGAAAGTCAAAAGGAGTCCCCTTTAGAGGAACCAACTAGAGAACTTGCTCTCTGGTCTTGGTGTCAGGTAAAGAGAATTTCCTGAATAAATGGTCCTATCCCATAGACCCTGCACGTTTTACTGCTGAGTCTGTTTCCCTTTGCACTTTGACTGTTAAAGCTCTGCATTAAATGGCCAGCTCCTTCTTTTTTTTTTTTTTTAAGATTTTATTTATTTATTTGACAGAGAGAGACACAGTGAGAGAGGGAACACAAGCAGGGGGAGTGGAAGAAGGAGAAGCAGGCTTCCCGCTGAGCAGGGAGCCGGATGCGGGGCTCGATCCCAGGACCCTGGGATCATGACCTGAGCCGAAGGCAGACGCTTAATGACTGAGCCACCCAGGCGCCCCTGTGGCCAGCTCCTTCTAAGAACTATGCAACACAGTATGGCACAGATCACTCTGCATCGATCTAACCTGGTTTTGAATGATTTTCCTTATTCCTATTTTGCTTTCAATCTGATTCCCTTACTTATTTCATTCCTGTGCTGGATTTTTTTTTTTTTTTCACTGCATAAACTTAAAAAATCTTCCCCAAATCCTTTGAGGTATGAGGTAGGACAGAGAGCAAATAAAGAATGGAAGCGGAAGCTGTAAATGACCAACACAAGTCTAGCCTGGGTTTCGGATGCCAGGCTGTGTTAACTGCATCAGGACTAGGTCAAAGAAAAGTTGAGGTTTGTCAGTGAGCACGGAAGACTGCTTCCCAGGCTTTCCTCCCACAAACACTGGTTCTGGAACCTTCCCAAGGACTCCCTTACCTTTGCTGCGGCGGCGACTTCGGTACTGCTCCGTATAGAACGTCAGCTGTGTTTCGTCGTCTGCCTCTGAACCCGAAGTCCCCTTGGTTCTCCCAAAGCTGATTCCCCCTGAAAGGAAGAGCAATCCATTAGTCACGTAAGCTTCCTGGAGCTTGTTAAATCCCTCATCCGACCCAAAGATCAGCAATCCCATCCCCAGACTTCTTTCTGTAAATCCCAAGTGACCTGGGAGCTGGCATGATTTATGGACGGAGTTGGGGCTCTGCAGTGAGGCGGATCTGGGTTCTAGCCATGGCTTGGCGGCCGCGAGCTGTGTGACCTTGAGGGGACGCCTCCTTTTTCTGAGCCCTGGGTTCTCTCTTAATAAAATGGGGCCGATAACTATTGACCTTGTAGGGTTGCTATGAAGATTAAAGGAGATAGGAAGCATAAAATATCTGGTTTGTGGTGGGTCCTAACTAACTGATAGCTCTATTCTTGCTTAGTAAGATGAGCCTGCCTCTAGGAAAACATTTCGGGCAACTTAATTTCACACACATCTCAAGCAAGTGCTTCTTCGATGCCAAACCAAGAGCCAGACACTGGAGGTACAAAGATAGTTACAGCCCAGTCCTTGCCAGCCAGCAGATCACAAGCCATCAAGAAGACAAATGGGATCCTAAGGAGCCTTTAACCTAATTCATGGTTATGTTTTCCCACACAATGAGATGCTGAGAATACGGGGGAGAGCAATCCATCCCAACACGGAGAACCTGGGAAGGTTTTATGGAGGAAGGGGGATTTCAGCCAGAGCTGGAAGGATGAATGGGGCTTTGGGGGCAGAGAACAGAGTTCCAGAGAAAGGTAAGAGGTGAGCGTCCCTGGGGATGGGGAGCGTGGGCAAGTGGGGGCCACGGTGAGTGGAGAGCTGACGGGAAGGATCACTGGAGCCTCACAGTGGAAGTTCCTGAGTGCCACAATGAGGACGAGTTTTGGGTGTTACGGAAGGTCCCAGAGCAAGAGGATGAGTTCATTAGCCGTACTCGCCATGAAGGACATGACAGTGGCACCCAAGCCATGGAGGGCAAAAGCTGGGAGGCTCAGGGATCCCTTCGTGAGAGGCCATGAGGGTCTGGGTGAGGCAGGGGGAAGTGAGGATGGGAAGGAGGAGGAGGGAGGAGCAAGCGTGTTTCAGAGATACACTGAGGAATGTGGGGGCGGGATGGGTGATGCATTCCCAAGCGATGAACAGTGGATTCCAAAAGTAATCAAGATAAAAGACCAGAAAGAAATATGCCAAAATATGAATAAGCTAATTCTGCAGGGAGGAATACAGGTAATTTTTTATTTTCTCTGTGCTTTTCTATATATATATATTTTATTGTTACCAAAAAAGCACAGAATGTGGGAAGAGAGGGATTAAAGCACTGGTAAACTCTTTGCCCTAGAGAGGAGACAGTGAGGGGAGAGCTTCAGAGCATGGTGGGGGTGCACGGTGGGCAGGGAAGCAGAGGGCCTTTGGTTTGGTTTGGATACAGATCTTCAGACACCAACATGGACATCGATAGCCTGTGTTTGGGAGGAGACTTAAGGACCTGGCAGGAGTGGATGTGCTGGATGAAGAAGTGGCTGAAGGCAGGGTCTAGAGGGAGAACACTTTTCCCTATAAATATTTTCTTTTGAATCAAGCACCATACAAACCTATTACCTATTCGAAAATTCTACCCAAGGAAAAGAAAAACATAGATCAGAGGGAAACCTGGCTCAATCAAAGAAGAGTTTCTTATGCCATTTCTCTGGTAGGGCATCCAGTATACAGAAATCCCACTTGCAGACACTCTATCTGCAATATGGTTATTGTGCTTTCATTCATTCATCCTAGCAACATGTTGAGCAATCTGCTATGTGCCTAGAAGATGCTGACACATTATAGCATACAATCTTCATCATGATATACTCACAGCAAAAAGTGTAATTAACAACCTAGATAATAAAGACACCAGGACAAGTATGGGCAAAGTCACGTAGCTGATGAGTACGTGAGTACAGGAATTAGGATTCAGGGCTAGTCCATCCAGCTCCACATTTGAGCTTTCTAGGATGCAAATTACTTTCCTGGAAATAACTCAAGAGGGAACCTTAGGGAAGGCCGACTATCCTTTCAGCATCAGGGCACCAAGTACTGTGTGATGAGCTTCACATACATCTTCCCATTCCAAACTCATAGTATCCCTTGGAGAGAGGTATACTGATGCCCATTTGATAGGCGAAACAACCATGTTTCAGAAAAGAAAAGTGATTTGCTAATAATGAGTGAGGTTGGACTTGGTACCCACGTGTGACTGATGGCCAAGTTCAACTTTTTTTTTTTTTTTAATATTTTATTTATTTATTTGATTGAGCGAGAAGGAGAAAGAGAGAGTTCAAGATGGGGGAGGGTCAGAGGGAGAAGCAGACCCCCCGCTGAGCAGGGAGCCCGATGCGGGACTCGATCCAGGGACTCCAGGATCATGACCTGAGCCGAAGGCAGTCGCTTAACAAACTGAGTCACCCAGGCGCCCCTAAAGTTCTTTTTTTTTTTTTTTAAGATTTTATTTATTTGTTTGAGAGAGAAAGAAACCACAGGAGAGGGGGGAGGGTCAGAGGGCGAAGCAGACTCCCCGCTGAGCAGGGAGCCCGATGCGGGACTCGATCCAGGGACTCCAGGATCATGACCTGAGCCGAAGGCAGTCGCTTAACCGACTGAGCCACCCAGGTTCCCGCCAAGTTCAACTTTTAACCACTTTTGACAGTGCCTCTCAAATTAATGCTCTGTAACATGAAAAGATTAATATTTCCCTGAGACAGTATGTTGTAATAGATGGGAGAGTATAGGGGACAGCAATATCTGATCTTTGTGCTCGAATGTGTCCTTGGCCTGTCCCTGCCCCTTAGTGTAAACATGCCCAACCTCCAGCAATTAAGGGTAGGGCCTGGAGACAGCAGGAGACTCCAGATTCTACTAGGTGCAGCCCTTCGCTTAAAGGCTCTCTTTTGATATGGAGTTGGCGGAAGCCCCATGGACACTCTGGAAGCAGGGGAAGAGCAAAGGTCTCCAAAGGTCAGGAGGGCCTTTTAAACTGTCGTTGAGGGGCGCCTGGGTGGCTCAGTTGGTTAAGCGACTGCCTTCGGCTCAGGTCATGATCCTGGAGTCCCTGGATCGAGTCCCGCATCGGGCTCCCTGCTCAGCAGGGAGCCTGCTTCTGCCTCTGACCCTATCCCCTCTCATGTGTTCTCTCTCATTCTCTCTCTCTCAAATAAATAAATAAAATCTTAAAAAAATAAAAATAAAAAAAACAAAAAAATAAATAAACTGTCGTTGACATATTTTACTGTTACAGAAAAAGGAAAGAGAGAAAGGGAGGGAGGGAGGGAAGAAGGGAAGGAAGGAAGGTAGGTGGGAAGGAAGGAAGCAAAGAGGAAGGGTGGGAAGGAGGAAGGAAGGAAGGGAGAAAGGAGGAGGGGAGGGAGGGAGGGAAGGTGAGTGGAAGGGAGAAGGGAGGGAGGAAGGGATGGTTTTTGTTCATCTACACATAATTCTTGGCAAGGGGAAAATGAAAGCATTGGATAAAATAGTTACTTTATGTATAGAAAGCACCTGTCATCCTTCCTGCTATGTTTTGGGAAGCAGAGAAAAAGGGAGGGGTCTGCCCCCGTCAGGAGTCTACCTCAGACACCTCCACATCCCCTTCAATGCTCCACCACCCCCTCTTATTTAAAACTTTCCAACCAAATCCTCCCCCCCGCCCCTCCCACCATTTTCCTTCCTTTCCCAAACAAATGACCTACTATGGTCCTGCCATGGGGAACATGACAGACAGGACTCAGACAGGATCCTTTCCCTCTTGGGACAGGCTAGCAGGGGTGAGAGAAAGTCACCAGACAATTCTAATACAATTAAAAAAAAAAAAAGCTCACCATTGCATAGCACTGTCTCTGCTGGGCACTGTTCTAACCCTTTACATTTATCGACTTGTTTAATCCTTAAATAACCCTAGGAAGGAGGTTGTTACTTTTATTCCCTTTTTAATGGACGAAGAAATGAAGGAACAAGGAAATTAAGTGATTTGCCCAGGGTCACACAGCTTGTCAGTAGCAGAACCGCAATTCATATCCAGGCAACGGCTGCAGAGTCTCTTCCTTTGGTCTCTATACCAGCGTACAATAAAATATGCACAGATAGCTCACTGAATGTCCAAACCATCCCTATAAGGAAGGCATTAGGAACCTTGTCTTACAGATGAATAAACTGTGTCTCAGAGAGCTTCTGTGAGCTTGTAGGCGAGGGAGCAGAGACTGAATCAGGTCTGCTTACCCGCAAAGCCTGCCTCGTGGCTAAAACAGCCTGGGACACTGTGTGTGCACACGCGTGTGTGTGTGTGTGTGTGTGCACCCAGGGAGAGCAGCATCAAAAGCTTGATTTCATCTGTGAGGATTAGCAGGTGTGTTACTTGCCCCCCTCCACTTCCAATGCCAGGGAGCCTTTTCCACTTCTCATAGCTCCTCCCTTGGACTCTGCACTTGCACTATTGGATAGGAACTCCATTCAGCCTTAGCTAGATTCTAGGGATGCCTCCACCATTCCACATGCCCAAGTGCACGAACTTCATGCCCCTGACTCCCATGAAGGCTTCTCCAGTCCCTCTCCACTCCCACACTTCTGACCTCACCTCCTTCCTGTAGGTACCAAGCTACCATTTCCAGGGTGGAAGCTGAAACTCAGAGAAGTTGCTTCTACATCAACCTGTCCAATAGAAATATAATGCAAGCTGCATATGTCATTTTAAATGTCCTCGGAGCCACATTAGAAAGGGAAAAAAGAGGGACACCTGGGTGGCTCAGTGGGTTAAGCGGCCGACTCTTGATTTCGGCTCAGGCCATGATCTCAGGGTCGTGAGATCAAGCCCTGCATCAGGCTCTGTCTGATGACAACAGGGAGTCTGCTTGAGAGTCTCTCCCTTTCCCTCTCCCTCTGCCCCTCCCCCTCCCCCTGCTTGCGCTCATGCTCTCTCTCAAATAAATAAATAAATCTTAAAAAAAATAATGGGAAAAAACAAACGGGTAAAATTAATTTTCAGAATACATTGTAT